CTTTCGTAAAAAAGAATTTTTGCCGGAGGCTTGAAGATTCCTACTTTCCAGCGAGGCATTATTTTCTTCCTAGGCCTACTATTCGAAAAAATCCAACGTTGTTATCATTTTGTGATCCCCAGCGACACACTTGGGAAGCCCTATCTAGAAGTTACAGCTTTCCAAAACCTGCGTGAAAGCCCCATGCATGGCGCATTGCACAGGTGATGCCAATTGGCGCCGCAATGGCCTATTTCCTGACACCCTTGTGCTAAAACACATGTTTTCGGGACGTACGTAGGTACTGCGACCTCCCCCCCACTCCTCCCGCTCCGACAGCAAAATTTTGTAAAAAAAACCATGAAATTGTGTGGGAAAATATTGACAAAGTGGTAGGAGGTTTGAAAAATCTAGGAAAGAGGTAACATGGGAGGGGGGGGGTCGTACTTGAAAGATGTAATTAGGGGTCGCATTTTTTAGAAATATATCACAACACAATGGCGTGCCCTTGCCTGCAACAGCACTGTCCAGGAGCGTCCTTAGGACCACTAATTCTTTTTTCTGAGCGTCTCACACTCGAGGCCAGGCCACCAGAACGGAAGAGCACGCACGCGGCCAGGCACCAGAGTGACTCACAGGGCACATCGTTGTTAAGAGATTCTCCAAACAGGGGGGTCGTATTTGGCCGCTAGGAGAATGGGGGGGGGGGCGTAATTAGTCCCTCACTCAGTAACAAGCAAGCGCAAGGTATCAGTATGCTGGTCTTATAGAGAACGTGCTTCAGCAGAGAACCGGGTGTGTAAAAAAAATAGTACAAAACTTTCATCAACTGAAGCTAATCCAAATCAACTGGAAACAATAAATAGGTTGGCATCATTTCGTAAATACATAGATGACTAAACAGTGCAACTCATACCTGGTTCGCTGCGGGATGATGGGGCGTGTCCGAGCGACCGCGCTTGCGGTACGGCGCCAACCTTTTTTTTTCTTTCGACAAACGACAAGGCTACCATATCGTTTGTACCGACGTTTTCCAGCAGTTGGTCTCCTTTATCGGACTTACTAGGGAAGGTCGTCAGGTCGAAAGTGGCATTTGTGATGAGAGTGTAGATCACTGAACGTGGTTTGGACGCTGATCTTGAATCTGCCTTCAAAATTTGCAAAGCGTTCTCTTGGACGCGAGCTATGAGCCGCGCGTTTACCACGCAACAGGTCATGGAATCGGATCCCTGCTGAGCTTAACTTTTTTGCTTGTTGCGCAAACATGGCAAAAAGTGATTTTGCCGTCACTACTACTTCAGTTCTCACCTGAGCTTGTCTGAAGAAAAGTTTGCCTTCGACAACAGTAAGAGTTTATTCTACAATGAAGGACGAGAGCCTCAAGTAATCTAATCATTGATAAGCTGAAGCACATGTCAGGAGTAACTCTGTAAATCTCGAGGCGAACGCAGTCCTGCTTAGCTGTATTATATTAACGTTTGATGGCTGCTGTACAGATACTTTTCGTTGATCGTAAATTTTTATACCAGTCCATTACCCCTCACTGCACATCCATTATCGTCAAGAGAGGCTGATAAGTTTTATGCACGACGCAATATATTTTATGAATTGGTCAGTCTTCGACCAGTGTTCGACACAGCAGTAAACGATAAAGGCTTCACCCGCGTCGAATTGGGCGTGAGTCCGCAGCCGCGTCACGTATTGCACCCAAACTTACGCCTGAACATTACTGTGAGCCATTTGCTCCCTACTGAACAGTCGTTATTGTACTACCTGGCAGTCCGAGACCACCCCGTCTCGGACCCACCACTATCACCGAGGCCACCCCACCTCAATAAATATATTACTACAACGACTACCGTCACACCACCCCCTCCCCCAAAATGTGGATCGGTACGACCCCCCCCCCCTCCTAGGATTCGTTGTTTTTTTACCTTTTTATTTGCGTCTTCTTCCAACAAATAGGTGGAAGAAAACAACTACCAAGCTGAAAATTCCCCCTGGCTCCTGCGCACCTTCCAGCACTGAACATCACCCAGCCAAAGAATCTCTGTGCTAGTTGATTTCCAAAATTCCCTCTCTATTTACAGGAATTCAGTTTAGATGAACTCCGGTGTTCCGGTCTCGTTAACTGATAAGATATTCAAAAGAACACAGTGAGCTTTATCTGAAAAGCCTGCGAAGGTGTGGGGCGTTTTCCGCTAAGGGCTGATCTGGACGCCGACATGGAGTAGTGGCTGAGGCGAGCCGCTCAGACAAATGCTCTGAAAAAGAACACCTCTACTTATCCCCCAACGAAAATCAATTTAACGCCCGAACCTCTATGATGCATGGGCTTTAACTAAGGAGCGGAGGTAAGACTGCCTCATTGAGGTTGAGCGCGTCGTCTATGGCGTGAGTGTGCAGCCGCGTTGCGTATTGCACTCAAACTTACGTCTAAACATTACTGTGAGTCGTTTGCTCTCGAATAAACGTTGTTGTGTCAGGTAGTAGGATGTTGACTTAATCTAGGCGTGCCTCTCAATACAGGAGAGGTCACGCATCGAGTACGTAACCATTTACTACTGGTCATAAACACACAAGTCATAAAAGGGTACACTGGAGGTTCTGATGGCAATCCAGAACAGGTGGTACGGACTCGACCAAAATCCTCAACCAATGATGTGCCCTGGTGACTCACCAACTTGAACAACGGTCGGCCTGACGTGAACGTGAGCAGAGTGATATCGAGAAAATTGGAGAAAGCTAAGCTATTCAATAGAAAACAAAGAGGAAATCAACACGGTTATTCGAAACACGGGAACTCAAACAGCTGGTTTTTTTTTGCGCTGCGAGCTTCTGAGCAGCCCAAGAAGGGGCTAAAGAAATGTTTTAAAACAGTGAACTCGGGTCGATGAAAAACACTTCAGCTTTCTGCACGAAAGATTCGGGTGGACATGTTTTCGTTCATGCAAAAGATTCCGACTTATGTAAGTGAACACAAAATTGTGAGAATGTTCACTTTTGTGACTAGGAAATTGATCTGGCTAAAATCAAGAACAGTTCCTAATCTGAGAAACATCTTAGATCTTAGAAACAAAGAAAAACAAATATTGGGGAAAGGAATACACTCCAAAGCACAGACGATTCGTTTCACCCGTTATCTACTCTGTTTGTGAATACCACGTATCCACAGACAAAATGAAGGCAGTAGAAGGTCTTGCGTTCCAAACAAGCCATTGAATAGGAAACATGATAACTCGAACAAACTGACGTGATAGTATCCTCCTTGATCACCCGCAGCTACGCTCTAAGGCCGCGTTGCGGAATCTGCGGAAATACGAAAAGCATTATATACGTATCGATTTGAAGAAATGCAGAAATGACGAAACTGCAGAAGTGCGAAATCTGCAGAAATGAAGTGAAGAATAGCAGAAATGCGGAAAATGCAGAAGTGCGAAAAGTGCGGAAGTGTGGAATCTGCAGAAATGACGAAAAGCAACGATACGTATCGATTTTCCGCACTTAGAGCGCGTTCAGCCTTCGCGATCGATCGCGCGATCGGGATCGCGCGATCGCGCTACTGTGGGTGAAATTACACCGGGAGGGGGTCATGTTCGTTCATGTTTATTGTTCTTGTTCTTTTTTTTCCTTTTCCTTCTTTCTTCCTTTGTGTACATAACGCCCTCCTAATTTTAAGGAACGTTACGAAATATTTTTGAGTTATTTATTATTTCCTATGTAAAACAGTACTAAATATACAGTATGCTAATTATTATACTGAATTTTGAATCTGAGTACGTTCAAGCGAAGTACTGAACATCTTGTTCCAAAAGTAAGACACGCAGAGCTTTCAACAGCGGGTGATGTTTCTCTCCGTTCCCCCGATTTTGCCAGTCCTCCAGATATTCTCTTTAGTTTTGTCACATTGTGTTTGCTTTGTTCGTTCTGCCATCCTCCAGGTCTATACACAACCTTTCCTTTCGACGGTTTCTGCAAACGTCAGTATTGCGAATATGAACATGGAATAAAAGACATCAAAAAAGGTCGAACTTACTTTTATATCGTTTTTGGAACTGCCTATTGGAGGCAGGATACAGCATCGTGATTTGAGAAATGGTGACATTAGTACGACTCCCCTTCCCAGAACTTTGCTGTTGTTGTTTGTTGAGTTGAGTTGAACATGAACGAACATGACCCCCTCCCGGTGTAATTTCACCCACAGTAGCGCGATCGCGAAGTCTGAACGCGCTCTTACTGCATTTCTGCAGATTCCGCACTTCTTCACTTCCGGCATTTATACATTTCTTGAAATCGATACGTATGTCATGCTTTTCGTCATTTCTGCAGATCCCGCACTTCTTCACTTTCGCCATTTCTGCATTTCTTCAGATCGATACATATATAATGCTTTTCGTCATTTCCGCATTCCTTCATTTCTGCACTTCTTCATGGTCGCAAGCTATGAACGCGGCCCAGTCCAACTGCGCGATCCGATGACAACCCTGGTTACTGTAACACAAATTCACCGCCTCTGGAATCTCGCTTGCTGTTCGGCACAGAGTTGGCCACATGCCAAAGTCATTGCAGAGCGAATCCACAGGTATTTTTCATGGCATCTACTAGATCAGCAGTTGAAGGGAGAATGCAGAGTTGGAGGGAACACAGAAAGAACTAAGGAAAAGAATGAATGATTAAGAAAAAAGGAAGGGGAAGGAGTTCGCCGCTGACAAGTATAATGAGACGTCCGGAGCGTGCGGTGTCTGCAACTCCGGAGAGCGTTCCTCACTTTACGCCAAGAAGATGAGCTTCTGTTCGGCTGCATATTCATTTAGTTGTGTGGTTCAAAAGTTTGTGTCGGTCGCTTGTTGATTCCAGTTTGATTAATTCTAATTGGAACTTTGGCAGAACAAATTACGACTTAAAAGTTCCAGTTAGAACTGGGTTTTGCTGCTGTTTATGAGGCACCTCTTATACCCCAACTCTTAATGCATTATTAAAAGTGAAGGGCTTTGTCATGTACAGGCTTTCCGTGTGTCTTCATGGAAGTGGCCGCGTTGTATTCACAGGAGTGGAAGCAGATTGTAAATCGAGTAGTAGCTGCATGGGGTGGTTACCAGTTAGGAGTGGATCTCAAATCTGGAGGACCAGAGACTCTAGCAAAAGATGAGGCTAGTTTGACTTTTTGTACTTTTATGTGAGTGATGCGGTCAGAGTGGCAGTTATTTTGGCGCTTTTGAACTATTCCTACCCCAGACTGCCAAAATCAGGCCGGTTTTTTACCGACTTTTTCTACCAAGGCAGATTTGGCTGAAAATTTGCTTATTGGGGTACCCCTGAGCACGAATATCACATCCGCTTCGCCCGAAACTGCCTGGCGCCGACGCCAAAAGACCCTGAACCGCCAAATTCGCTGAAAACCTGTCCCTAGAGGTAGTTTGATCCCCTGAACATGAGTATAACATCCGCTTGGGCTAACACCGTCGATGAAAACTTGTATGCGGGGATTATTTGACATCCTGATTACGAATATGACATTTATTCTTGGCGCCAGCACTAACATAGGACACTATGGTCATCTGCGCTTCGCAAGACTAAGCCTGGCCTGAAGAGAATCACTCCTTTTCCCACGTTCAACCTCAGCAGCACGCTTGATGGCGCTGGTATGGAGAAATAAATGAAGAAGGAGATAAATGAGAAAAATGTCGGCGCATACTGGCGAAAGAGGCGCCGGCGCCAGAAATGAATGTTATATTCGTGATCAGGGCATGAATACCATCTAAAGACAAGGTTTCGGCGAAAATTTTTCCTGGGTGTTGGGGTAGGAATGATTCAATAGTGCCGTTAATTTGTCAGAAGCGAACTTGTCTTTGTGAAGATGGCATACGCTGTAGAGTGCCATATAACTTTTAAGTCATTCATCTGTTATCTGTTAAAAAGGAAAAGAAGCTCGAAGGAAATCATAGTGGGCTATGGCGTATGCTGTAAGATTGACGACTAGGGCCGCGTTCATAGCTTGCGACCATGAAGAAATGCAGAAATTGAAAAGGATTAGATACGTATCGATTTGAAGAGATGCAGAAATGCGGAATCTGCAGAAATGACGAAAAGAATTAGATACGTATCGATTGCAGAAATGCGGAATCTGAAGAAATGCAGAAATGCCGAATTGCGGAAGATCGATGCGTATCTAGTCCCGTCATTTCTGCAGATTCTGCAATCTGCACTTCTGTAGTTTCCGCATTTCTGCAGATTCCGCTCTTCTGCAGTTTCGACATTTCTGCATTTCTTCAAATCGATAAGTATGTAATGCTTTTCTTCATTTCTGCATTTCTTCATGGTTGCAAGCTATGAACGCAGCCTAATATTGGTTGATACTGACTAACATCCGCATGTGACGGCGGATTTGGTGTCGTGGCCTCTGAAGAAGACGACCCTGTCGAAACCTTAGGCAGTTGAATAAAAATTCCACCTGAAAACCTCGAGAGGCACATCAGTACTAACTAGCTGTGTAATCTGATCCATGATATGGATGAGTGCAGATGAGCCACCTTAGTTACTGGCAAACTGTATACTCTCCTTAATGGCACGTATATGCCGTGAGGATTAGGACCATGTTGAGGTGAATGGAACCGGAGCTGCCAACTTATCCGTTCAAAAGTGCACGGGACAGCTGGGTAGCGAGTGCCGTCTACATGCTCTACCCGTGCTATCTTCAATGTGCAGATCCTGCTACCGCTGTGTAGATTCATACCATGTCCTACAGCGAAGCACGCACTAAACGGTGGACAACAGCCAAGAAATGAGGGGGCGCAACAAGTAGCGCGTTTTGGCCGTGGTCAGGCCCCTGGCTGGCTGTGCGGCAACGCTGAGCGGCTAAGGAGATGGCACCCGGGTGTCGCGACCATTCAGCCCCTTCCCGTGCACTTTCAAACGGAGAACGGTTCCGCTCACATAACAAGAATAAGGGTCGAGAGTGACGTGTTACAGCTTTGCCCTCAATGCTCCATCCGCTCAGTAGCTCAATAGCCTTGCTGTAATGAATGCCATGTCTACGTAAACTCAGAATAATAAACATCGGAAGGAAACCTTTCATTTAACAAGTTGGTTTTTAGTGGTTCAAAGAGGTGATCGCCGAATACACTTTAACGGCACGTGCTCTGAAAGCGGACGATCTTGAGGATTGGCTGAACAATGTTCTGTACACTGAATTCAACCTTATTCTAGATGACGGCAGTGTCTTCCCTACTTCCGCTTTGTTGATAGAGGCCCTAGGGTATGTCATTCAAGAAATTTATGATGCTGCAAACATCACAATACTATCCTCAGGTATTTGAAACGCAGCGATCGCCTTCGGCTTGACCAAGTTCTTTCTACCCTCCCATCAGTGGAAGCCGTGCATGAGGTACATAAGGAGAGTGGAAAAGGTGGACAGTGTTTGCTTTGGGCTCTTCTTTCGCAGTTCGGTCTTCCATCTTAGGCAGCGTTCATACTTCGCGACACCAGCGGCGATCGCTACGATCGCGGTTGTCGATACGTCACAGAGCGCGCCCCAACGCTATTACTTTAGACTGTTCCAAGTGCTGTTGGGAATAATCGGCTTATTTCCGTGCTTTTTTCTTTTAATTTTCTCAGGTAGTAAAGCTTGTTTTGACTGAATGAAAGGTGGACTCAACTTAATGGCTTTTCTGTTTTCTTTCTTGATTCCGGATGGAAATGAGCAGAAAGCGTGAGAGCCTCATTTAGGGTGTTTCTTATTGTTTCTTCTTTCATTCTTCGACCTTACACATGAAATTATGAAGTTTCGCCCTCCTTGATATTGCACCAAAGAATGATTTTTTCGATTTCTAGGTGAGTTTCTTTGTGTTTCTTTTTTTCGTTGTTCAAATTCGACAGGGTAAACTGAATACCGCGTGCACACAATACGACTCACGATCAACAAATCCATATCTTTCACCAGTGCATGGTTTTTAATCAGTTTCTCTTATACATTCTATGGTCCAATCCTTGGTATACTCGTACTATGCGTAGTCCATGGAATAATTCAGTACACACTAGTTTAGCAAAAACTTCTTGGGGAAAGATCACCATTTGCTCTTATTGATTTGCTCTTCAACACTCGATTGGTTTGCTCTCCAACAAAAAACTAGGAATGCAGATCAATACCATGTTGATAATTATAAAAATTATAAGGAAGGTTTCTGAACCCTATAGAATGCACGACTCCTTACATTGGTTGCGGACTAATGTCTGTCATCTAGTGCAACGAGAGTTGGCCAGCCTAGTTTTTTTTTTCTGTACTAAAGTACTGACTTACTTCATAATTGCTCTCTAATCCAGTTTTCCGATCCAATTAAAAAAAGCGCCTCGTGGGACCGTGTGAACTGTGTATGTACCACGCTGGTTGCCTTCAAGAAAGCGCGCGTGTCCCACGCGGCCAAAAAGTAAAAACGCGTGTTGTCGTCAACGTGTTAAGTACAGAAAGTCGTAAGTTCTCAGTCGGTAGCCACGTCTTTCAGGTTGGATTTGGTCTTACAAGGGAGGTCGTTCAGGACGTGTCCCGCTTTTTCAAAAGGTCTTTTGCATTTTGTAGAGGCTCGTACATAGACTACAAAAGTGGTGTTCATTTTTGCTGTGCGGCCACCGGTATGCCAAAAAAGGAGCGAAATACCTCTCCCAAGGAAGAGCCATTAGACCACCAAAATGCAGTCCAGTACGCTTGTAGCGTCGAATACACGTTGTATTGAGGGTGATCTTCTGTTGAATGTTGTAAACCACTTCAAATATGCCCATTTATAGAGCACGATTCCTTATGCGTAGTGGGGTGATCGCAGGTTGTGCAGTGTCATAAGCAATGGACACCAGCAATGGACCTTCCACTCTGGTGGTCAAATGGCGCAGTGGATAGAGGGTCAGGCTCGGATCGTGGTGGATGGTGATTTCTTGGATCGGATCCCGACACTGGCGGTATTTTTGCATTTGCTGTGACTTCGTCCTTTAGCATTTCCAGTTGTCTGTAAATGGGTGCAAACCGCAAATATACGATTTGGCACGTTTTGTCGCATTTCATGAGTTGATGTAGACATTTTTCCTCTATGCAAACGTTGGATTTTTCATTCATTTATTACACACAAGTTCAGCAATTGTGATAAGTTTCTACGAAGCATGTGAAGCACAAGCGCTTGCCGCACCAACTACACTTGGCAAAAGCCAAGAGAGTGCAGGTGTTGTTTCCTTGACACGGGACAACGACCTCCCCATCGCTGAACCCGTAGTCAGTCGGAGTCAAGAATTGTTCAGGATGTTCCTCAATGTATCCAGCCGCCACCCAAGCGTATGCCAAGCAGGCGCAGTGATTTCTCTGAGCTGCTCTTTCATGTGCTCGTACATGCTTGGACATGTATGCGGTAGTGATCTACTGGAACTTTCCGCCGCGACAGAACGTGCCAAGTCGTATATTTGCGGTTTGCACCCATTTACAGACAATTGGAAATGCTAAAGGAGGAAGTCCCAGCAAATGCAAAAATACCGCCAGTGTCGGGATCCAATCCGAGAAATCACCACCCACCACGATCCAAAGCCCGACCCACTATCCACTGCGCCATTGGATCACCACAAGGAGAAGGTGGCGTCCATTGCTTATGACACTGACACAACCTTCTGCGATCTCCCCACTACGCATAAGGAACCGTGCTCTATAAATGGGCATATTTGAAGTGGTTTACAACATTCAAGAGAACATCACCCTCAATACAACGTGTATTCGACGCTACAAGCATATTGGACTGCGTTTTGGTGGTTTAAATAGCCTTTCCTTGGGGAAAGGTATTTCGCTCCTTTTTTGGCATACCCGTGGCCACACAGCAAAAATGAACACCGCTTTTGTAGTCTATGTACGAGCCCCTACAAAATGCAAAAGACCGTTTTGAAAAAGCGGGGCACGTCCTGAACGACCTTTCTGGTTAGGACAACTAATCCATTTTTTCTCCGCGTCTCGCTCTCGAGACCAAGCATCAGACAGGAGAGCACGCTACGGTCAGGCATACAGAGCTCATCAACTTAAAGACACATAGTACGCTCATACACATTGAGGGTGTATGAGACTATCAGCCCCCCAGATGTCGATGTGTCGTGGTCCCCCGCCAGACATGCCCAGGAATGGAGATACAGGGCCGTGAAACACGCTAATTCTTCCATGCTCCGCCCACTGCCTTTTTACGGCGCAGTTTCCCGCCGTTCATAACATCCGTCGTAAGCGCGCCTGTCGCGTGCGGCTCCTTGGCACTTTAACAAGTCCTTTAATTGCGCTCTCAAATACAAGGAAAACGCAATTTCCTGATGCGGATAACATTGGTGCTCCAAAATAAGAACAGAAGATGATGACGAGGGTCAGAACTCAAAAGCAACTGTGCCACTTCTGCAACATCCCTCGAAGGCCACGTACTTCCACGAAACATGGAAATAAAAACGGCATACTCGTTACTTTAATAAAAGCAAGGCGCAATTTCCTGATGCGAATAAAATTTGAGGTGTTGCTCATGCTTCAAAATCCATGTACAAGGAGATGAAGATGACACAGGCTAGAAATGAAGCACATGTATGTGCTTCATTTGTATGAGCATGATGTAAATGTAAATAAAACAAAAATGAAAAAAATCAAGGAAAGGCAAATTAGATAAATTGGCCTGTAAATTCGGCGCCAAAGCCATAGAAATACTTAGAACAAACGAGTGGGACGCTTGGGCTGTTTTTATTTTCATGTTTTGTGGAATGCGCGGCCCTTGATGGATACTGCAGATGCAGCCGAGTTGCTCTCGAGTTCTGCCCCTTGTCATCGTCTTCTGCTCTTATTTTGTAGCACCTCCAATGTTATCCGCATCAGGAAATCGCGTTTTACTTGTATTTGAGAGCGCAATTAAAGGACCTGGCAAAGTGCCAAGGAGCCGCACGCGACAGGCGCGCTTACGACGGATGTTATGAACGGCGGGAATCTGCGCCGTAAAAAGGCAGTGGGCGGAGCATGGAAGAATTAGCGTGTTTCACGGCCCTGTATCTCCATTCCTGGGCATGTTTGGGCGGGGGGACCACGACATATCGACATCTGGGGGCTGGTAGTCTCATACACCCTCAATGTGTATGAGCGTACCGTGTGTCTTTGAAGAACGGTCGGCCTGCTTTTAATGTGAGCGGGTGATGTTGGGAAAATTGGTGAAGGCTAAGCTATTCAATAGAAACGAAGATAGCGTCAAATATCAGCACACTTCTACACCAAGGACAGTGTAATAGTTGGCCAAGGGAAGTCATCACGGTCATTCGAAACACTCCACGTGGATAACCATGTGAACACATGTGAGAGAACTCAAATCATGTGAACCTCAAAATTTGGTTTTTTTTCAAGTTTTTTTTTCCGCTGAGCTTCTGGGCAGTCCGAGAAGGTGCTAAAGAAATGCTTGACGAGTTCACGATGAGTTCATGTCGATAAAAAACACATCTGTTTTTTGCACGAGAGATTCGGGTGGACACGTTTTTGTTCATGCGAAAGATCCCGACTTACGTGAACACAAGGAAATAAAAATTGTATGCACTTCTGTGACCTCGAATACTCTTAATCCTTTCTTTGACCTTCAAAAGTCACTAGTGATTCATTGTAGCACCCTACGTTCCCACTAGTAATTTTGAAAAAGAAACCAGCGAGTAGCGCCCAGTCGATCCGTGTGAGAGAGAGAGCGAACAGTCTCGACAGCTAGGGGAGATTTGCACTCTCGCCCAAGGCACATCGTTGGTTAGGGAACCCCCAACAGGAGGGTCGTATTTGGCCGCCAGGAGAGGGGGGGGGTCGTAGTGAGTGCGGCAGCCAGTAACGAGCAGCGCAAATTGTCAATGTGCTGAGTCCTGTACAGCGAAACTTGCTTTGTAGAGAACTCGGATATGCAGAAAAATAGTACAAAACTTTCATTCATCAAGCCAATCCGAATTAAATAATATTAATAAGTCGACATTATCTCGTAAGTCCGTTGGTGACTAAATAGTACATCTCAAACTCTGGTTCGCTGACAATGATATGGCGTGTCCGCGGTCGCGCTTGGCGCTGAGCCAACCTGTTTTTTCTTGACAAGCGACAGGACTACCATATCGTTCGTATAGACGTTTTCCAGCAGTTGGTCTCCTTTATCGGAGTCAGCTGTTGGCGAAGCACGAATCTGGCAGCGTCGACAGTTACATGTTCCATCATACGCAAGGAACCCTATACAGTGGAGTGCTCACCGGACGGTGGGGCGTTCCCTACGACCACGCCGGCGAGCGCTCCGCTGATGGCGTGGCGATGGCGAAATTCAGAAATTATCACCATTGCCCCTCCGTCTCTGACACTGGACTCTGCGCTCTAACAACCCAAACCGCGCCCTC